AAGGGAACCACCTAAGGTCAAGGTGGCGTTTCGTTATGGGACCCAGCTTATTTTGTGCAGAATTTTTTGCTGATTTCGAATCCGCTTTTATTTTTGCTAAATAGCCCAATTTAAAAGTTATAGCGTTTCAAAGTTCCATTTTTTCCCAAATTTTCGAACTTCAAAGTCATTTATCTTGCCTTTCCCGTCTGATTCCTCAAAACGAATATCGCCATCGTATTCAGAAAAATTTTCTCTATCGAATGAACTATTTAACTCAAAATTGTTGAAAATTGCAAAAATCGACGATACTTGGTATGGACTCCGTTTTTTGTATGGGAAATGGTGAAAAATTGCCTATTTCACACCCCCGTAAGTGATCGTCGATAGGTCGTAGCGCACTAATCAAATATACCAATCGAATCAGGAAAAAATTCTCTAAAAGACAGGCTATTAAAAATCGACTGCCCTATTAATATAAAAAAGTTGGGCATCGTGACAGATGACTTCCCGCGGGTACAGATATGACCTTAAAATCGCTATAACTTTTTAAATTGAGCTATTTAGCAAAAATTGAAAGCGGGTTCGGAATCAGCAAAAAATTCTACACAAAATAGGCTGGGTCCCATAACGAAACGCCACCTTGACCTTAGGTGGTTCCCTTGTAAGTCCAAGCTTAAGCCTAAAATCGCCTTCGCAGAAATGTCAGGCTTACATTGCTGTTTCGTAGGCGAGCGCGACAGGCACATTTTTGCCATCCAGGTTGAACTCCTCCACCGGGAATACAAAATTTGATGCGGCAATCAGTAGGTTCGCAATTCCAATCAGTATACACCCGGCGCCGATCCATCGGGCTCGGTTCCCCTAAAATGCAAATTTTCAATCCTCGATGAGCTAACAAGGGACGCAATTTTCAGATTAAAAATGTGGCAGAAAGCTAAAATCGGACCTTGCCTCCAAAATAACTCGCAAACACCACGATGGGGATGTAGGCAAAATCTCCGGCTGAGACCATCGTACCGGAGAGCCGGGACGGAATTTGGAACTGTTTCTCGATATAGACAACGGCGCTAAAAAATCAAAAACAGTGTTGTTTCGATAATTTGCGTTGGGAGCTTAAAGGGATGCCGACGGCATAGTCAATCGGTTACGCGCTGGAACGAAAATGTCTCTGCTCCTCTCCCCAGAGCGCGCTCTCTGCCCTGTTGGCTGCTTGCCAATTTGTTGATGGGGGGGGGGGATCGACACATGCCGTCGGCATCCCTTTAAAGAGGCGTCGTACCTGGTCATATAAAATCCTCCGATCGATTCGAGAAAATAAACGGTGCCGAAGAGGATAAAAAATACGATGAGCTGGAAAAGCCCAATTTCCGCTTTACGTATGCTGTACAGCCACAAACCTTGTCCATGATGGTTGATCGTTAGTTACCGTTTTGCCATATAATCATTCGAGGTGCAGGGTCCGCTCAGCAAATTTTGTCTACAAAAAACAGTAGCCTGACAAGGAGCTGTAGGATCTGTAAAATCTGTAAAGTTTTGGGCGTTCTTTCGCGTTATCGGGGGCAGGAACCGAACATTTCTTCTTAGAATCTAAGTTTTCAAATAAAAATAGTGAATGTGCATCTAAATCTTGAACGCAAAAACGCAGATTTTTCCACCAAAAAAGGCCGACTTTCGACTTTTTCCAAAGTAGATAGTTTTTCTAGTTAAAATATGTTTACATATTGCTAAAAACACTATTAAGACACTGTATATTAAGTTATATTTAGTTTTTCTGGGATTGTGGAAAAAAAGCTTGCCCCCCCGATAATGCTAAAGAACCGAAACGGGAGATGCTCAGGAGGGGTTGTGACATTTCTGGCGGGGCCAAAGTTGGTGGCGGCTAAGCGGGCGGCAGAATGCTATCATTTTGTGTACCCATAAGAGCCTTATCATTTGGCTGCTGGGACCTTTGCCGGCCAGCGGCCATCCCCCTAGACACGCATCCTCAAAACAAAGGGCAATCCCGCGTGTTCTAACAAACGATTTGGTAATGTGAACCTACGATTTGATTATTAGGTTCTTTCGCATTATCGGGGGGACCGAACTTTTTTGTATAAGTCTAGAAATGCCTACTAACTAAATATAAAGTGTTTAATAGTGTCTTAGTAATATATAATTATATTTCAACTAGAAAAATGTCTAAAAACCTAAACAAAAAGTAGAAAATTTGGCCAAAAATCGGCCATAGAAGCACTTCCACTATATTTGAAAAAATGGATCCAAAGACAAAAATTTGGGTCCCCACGATAATGCAAAAGAACCGACTATTCTATTGTGCTAGGTTTGCACCAGATGATGGCGTCAAAGGCCCGTCAATGAAGTTGAGAATCAAGATTTATTAAAGAGATCAATATGAATATCAAAGTATCATTTCGAAAGTCTTGTGAAGCGAAACCACCTTAGCGAGAGCGGGTTTTACAGGAAAATTGAAGGATTCCACAACACTTAAAGTTCATCAATCGAGTCGACGCGCATCGTGTCCTGCCGCTTGTATTCGTTGTACATCGTGGAAGCCGTGCCAGGCTGTGATACCTTAGGAGGTTGTAAGGCTAAAATCAGCGAATTTAAGGAGGTATTTGCTCTGTATCGGAGCATTAAAGGGGCTCCGAAATCTGGTCGACGCCAGCGTTGATTCCTGGCAAAGAGCCAGATGCGACCGCAACGCCACCGCGTCGCATGTTCTTTTGCCCCTGTTTGGACGTGAAAACGCTTGAATTTAAAAATTTCTGGAATCCTCATAGAATTTTGATATTCTAGACTTTGTTAATTATTTAAATTGTCCAGAGAATCACCGAGATCGCGAGACAGAGGGCCTTGAAAGGCATTACTACATGTATATCCCCAAAAAGTAGTTTTCGCACCAAGAATATTTTGGTTTTACTCAAAAAATTTCCGTTTTTCGCAACGAATTACTTTTCTGGTACTTCGCGGCATTAACCCTTTCGTTTTGTCGGTCTAGGCTGATAATGCCGATTCACAGGATGCCGATTTGCAGAATGCCGATTTTACAAAATGCCGATTTACAGAATGCCGATTTGCAGAATGCCGATTTACAGAATGCCGATTTTGCATAATTTGGGTTCTATTAGGTTGGACCGAAAGTAACTGCAGACGACCTGCAGACCCCTTTTTCTCAATAATTCCGCCAGATGGCCGCCCGGTTCTCAACCCCCCTATGTAGTCTAGAAGGGCACTATCTACCCTAAAAATATCGAAAAAATCCTGCCTCTATAACTTTTTTTATAAATGATTTTCCGTGAGACCCGGGTCGACCCGAGGCGGCGACATCCTGTACCCCTCTTCCTTTCCAGCCTTATAAAAATTCTTAATGTCGGAATTCCCAAATCATAATTTGTAACATCAAATGCCAGTTCAATATCTTCCTAGCTATGGGGCTCAATTGACCCTGCGGATTTAGAGTCAGCCGTTATTTGCAATAGTTTGGATCAAAATCCGAATTTTCGATGTGTTTAGCGAAAAGGCTTTCACCAATTTATTGAGGACAACCAAATTAAATCTGATCCATCTATCATGAGCAACATTTTGCGACCAACATTGTACAACTATCAACTATTTACCTTCCTTCTTTATTTAAGGAAATTTTGCAAATTATTGGGAGCACCAAGTGATCGACTTTGAGATGAGACGGCGACACCGAATTTCCGTTCCTATTCTTGAACCCTTGACAATCAAATTTTCTTCTTAATGCAATTTAATTGCGCATCGGCAGTACATACTGTGCTAAAATTATCAATGATCTAAACCCAATCTTCCGCGGAGAAAAAAATAAAATAAAAATTTGCCCAAAATTCCGGGTTTGCTCTCATTTCTAGACCAGCATGGAACAATTGTTCCTAGGTAATCTGCGTACGTAAAGCAGCTATAGCTAAGCTCCATTTTGATATATCCCACTCAAAAAGTTGTCCACTAAATTCGGAGAAAACCACCGACAAATGAATTTGTCGATTCCGAGTCCTAAAACCGAATTTGACATCTTTCGAAAATGACTTGGGAAAAAATCATGCTGCTAGGCATTAACATTTTATATAATACGCTGTATAGCCACAAGACTTGTCTATCCACTGTCAATTATTTGGAGCGCTAGAGCTTGTATGGACAGAGATATCGTTCGTAGAACTCAAAAACTCGAAAATCGAGTCGCACGCATCCTTTGCCCGAGAATTAAAAAACTTGTGGAAGGTTCGGCTTGAAACATTTACTGAAACAAGACAACACTTGACCCTCTAGCATCGCAAAATCTTGAAATGAATGAATGGATGCTTCCATAAAATTTTGGTCGCCGAAAAACTGCCGTTACTTTCGGTCCAACCTAATATATCCAAAAACACAAACCGGATCCCCAGAAAAAACAACATTATCCGACTTGGACATGGCGAAACCGCCAGACCTGAGGCCTAGCTTTACTATTTTCTTTTTTTTTTCCAGAGAAACCGTAGTTCCACGTTACCAAAGGGCCGCCCATTGGTTACGAAATTAAATTCTTCTATCAAACAGTTTTCCTTCCTCTCGACGCATTGTCAACCAAGAAATAATAATGAATCGTCGAGTTTCTCGCTGCGGCTGAGCACGTTGGAAGTGTCGGCGACCAGCGAAAAAGCATGCGTTGAAACTTGTCGCGAGGCGTGCGTTGGCCTCGTAATCCTTGATCCCTACGCGGAAAAAAAATTCGTAAAAATTCGCCATGGCCAAGTCGGATAATGTTTTTATGGGTGATCCGGTTCGTATTTTTGGATGTAGAACCCAAATTATGTAAAATCGGCATTCTGTAAATCGGCATTGTGTAAATCGGCATTTTGTAAATCGGCATTTTGTAAATCGGCATTTTGTAAAATCGGCATTCTGTAAATCGGCATTCTGTAAATCGGCATTCTGTGAATCGGCATTATGTAGGTAAATCCATTTTGTCACCATTAGGTTCAATCCCCGCACGCGAGATTGCCTTCCGAGCCCCTTTATAGAAGTACTTGCTCTGCATGTTAGCATGCTTCGCGGTTCTATTGAAGTCGCTAATCCATACAAACGATGCAATCATTGCGTTTCTTTTAGAGGTCGTCTCTCCCCGCCGGCCACTATCAAAAACACAACAAAGGCTCTATGCCCATTTTCGGGCAAATATGATTTGTGCGCCGTGACCCCTCCCCCCGGGGAAGGGACAGTGATAACGGTTTCCGTTTCGGCTCCGCCGACATTCGGGCAAAAGTTGGATAAAGTTAAAAATTGTGGGAGCGGGGGGTAGTTTGAATACGTGATCATTTCGCTATTACCCCACTCACCAGCATGTACGAAATCTTGACTGTGCCCGAGCAGCCAATAGGTCTGCATGACGCCTTTGCCCTAAATGCATAGTTGCGATCGTATGGAGTGAAAATCGGGGTGGTAAAACGCCAAAATTCCGAGAGGCCAAAATCCCGACTGCCAGAAACCCCAGATTTTACAACCATTTTTGGAAAAAACGACCGGAAATATCATCGGCAGTTTGGATGTCGGGATTATGGCCGTCGATATTTTGAATGTCGGGGTTTTGGCTGTCTGGATTATTTCTGGAACTCAACCGGGGTACCTTGATGATGACGTCGCCCCTAGTCTCCGTATGGAAACGGCCCGGATAGAACGATTGCAAGTAGTTGTTGCAGTCGCCGCTCATATGAATTTGGTTTGCTGGAAACGGGGGTGACGAATCCGGGGATGCCACAAACCCATTCCGTTACTTTCCATTCGGCTCGCCGTATTGACAGAATCGCCAAACAAGCAGTACCTTGGCATCGTGAGCCCGACTACTCCAGCTACGCAAGACCCTAAGAAACAAATTTATGAGCTTTCGCTAGCGTTTCCGGAGTAGGCGATTGGTAGCGTCTCCCACCTGTGTGCAACCCAATACGCAGCAGCACTTTTTCATTCGGCAAATGCGCAATGCGGAACGTGGCAACCTGCTTCCGCAACTCCAACGACATCTCAGCAATTTCCTTAGCGGAACAGCGTTAAATTCTGAACCTCAGCTACCTTGACGTGCTCGTTGCCGTTGCGCTTCGGCAGTCCAGAGACGCAAAGGTAGCCATCTCCAATAGTTTCTACCTAAACTTAAAGTTTTGCGCTTGGAAAGTCGGTAAAAACCTTATAGGCGTCATGCGTTTCAATGACATGATCGAAGATCGAGTACAAGCCGTTGAGGATGTCAACCACCTTAAGCGGAATTTGCTCAGGTTCAAAAAGGTTGTTAGGACCTGCATGGGAGTACATCGAGCCGCTAAGGTTGTAAACGAGACCACATCTAAAATATGGCTTCATACAATCAAAATGGCTCACGATAAACTGCATTAAAAATTCACCCACCCGAGAAGAAGATTGTAACCAGTTCGAATGATTCCGGGGCTACGGTCTGACCGACCTTTAATTTATCGGCAACCGTTCTGAAAAGTATTGATCCCTCAAACCCCAATCCCTACTTCGGCAGCATCCGGTAGAGGAGTAGGTCGCTCTTCCCCTTCTCTTCCACCAGTTCTTTCGTCCTCTCATCCACCTCCTGTTCGAGCATTTCAGCATGCTAAAAATTGTCTTGCAATCTGTGCAACTACGCCAAACCTGTTCCATGATGTGGAACACGTGATCCATTAGATTGTTGTTGCTAAAATGTTGGTATTCAAGTAACGAAATCATGGCGGGTCCTACTTTCCGTGATAAATGTTCCGCATCGACGCGCGCACTTTATCGATGGGCGGTCGGTCGAGCGGGTTTTCCGACCAGCAGTCGGTGATTAGGTGTACCTGAACAGGTATTGTAGATGAACAGGTTTTGTGAAATTACCGGTTCTTTCGCATTATCGGTGGGGGACCGAACTTTTTGTATAAGTCTAAAAATTCCTAGTAACTTAATAATGGTGTTTTAGTAACGATTTTAGTAATACAATAACTAAATTTCCACTAGGAAAACTATCTAAAACCATTACAAAAATCGAAATTATGGGCAAAAATCGTCTTTTGGCCGCAAAATCGATGTTTTTTATATTTTTTAATACAAATTTGCAAAGCTTGCACGTTTAGTAAAATTAAAAAAGGATTTAGAAACACTTCCACTATTTATATTTGAAAAATTAGATCCTAAGAAAAAGTGTCCAATTTTTTCTTTAAATAAAAACAGCTTTTCACCCCCCCCTCCCCGATAATGCGAAAGAACCAAATTACCATAGATGTGTTCATGTCTGGCATGTTCGTCAGGTCGATCTCAGGACGCATTGGTGGATGTCGGCCCTTTTTGATCATGTAGATCAATTCTAAAATGCGAGATTTACCGCTGTGTCCTGTGGCTTGTTGGGTTCTAAAAATCGGACAAGACCAACCGTCAATTCTCTCCTTTCGTTGATCGACGTCCCAGGGCGGGCTTCGCATCAGAATCTCAGACGAAATGATAGCGAAGGAGTAGATGTCGCTCTACAATTTCAGACTAATACCCATAATTCCTCAGCATACCGCTTTAGTGGGTGGGTTGCTGGAGTCGCGAAGGATTTCCGGGCCGTCTCACAGAAGATCTGAATGCGAGATCGGCGCAATTACGCTTCTACCTATTGATTACCTCGCTTGACCTTTTTGTCCATCGCCTGGATCCCCTGCAGCCCAAATAAACTGATTTTGATTTGCCATCTAAATCGGAATTTTAGAAAAGAATCCTGTGCGTACCGCTCATCCACCACCGCAGCATTCTGAAGTGAGATTTCCGTGAAGGCCGACGGGAGTGCGGGTGGATTGAAGGCGAGACCCTAAGGAGCCAGAGGTTAATGTACGTTGATGCCTGTAAACCGATAGGACGTCTCGGATTAAGGAGAAGGCAAAGAAGGCGTCCATTTTGATGGGCGAGTTGATGAGCACTTCCCTAGACATGTCGTCGCAAAAAAGGAGGTCCTTTGTACTTACAGAAAGTGTTCCACGGGAGCAGAGCCTCCAAACCGACAAGTAGTGCTGTCCGTCCACCGAGAGGCCAATGAAGCGGTTGACGTTGTCGTTTTCATATTAGTCGCATCTAGAAGTCGTTACTTCGGTATATTTCAACTCGGTTTTTCGAACCCTTAATCAGTTGGCGTTTTCTGTTCGCCGTTTTCGCGCCTTCCGGAAGATAATCCCGACAGCCAAAATGTGATTATTACGGAGGGTGCTTTGACCCCCTGACGTGGCAGTGCGCCGGGGCGCGCTATGAAGCTCAGACAGAGTTCCGGGGCGCCACATTACGTGTAAGTGGTCGTAAGGGTGTATAGAACGGAACACTTTTTTAATGTATTCCACTTTAATTTCTTGCTTCAACAAACAGAATATACATGTAATGAGTAAAAGAATCATGGTGAGGCAGTAACACAACCAGAGGACAGTGTTTTCATGAGTTGGGAACTGATGTTTGTCACCTCATAGGATTATACTGAGGAGAATCATTTACTTTAGCTTGGTGTTAATGTCCGTCATAGTTTAGTGTATGAAAGGGAAAGAACTTGGAAATCTTTAAACCTAAAATGAAGCATACAAAGAGCCCACGGGAAAAGCTCGCGTGGCTTGACGGAAGTACAACAAATCTCGAGCCACCTGGACCCGCTACCATGTAAGATTTTTGGCTTCTTCGAAAGAGTTAAAGTTTCGCAATTCCTCACATGTCCTGGTTTTGCGAAAGTTCCTGCGCCCTGCTTCTTTGTAGCAATGGCTTTTGTAATTCAAGACATCGCGGTAGCTTCTGATTTAGAAAAAGTATTTCAGACGAGAGTCTACAATTAACTATCGGGCAGAAGTGAACCAATCAACAAAATACTGGTATATATTCCCAAAATTCCGAAAAGCCATGATACTGACGATTAACTGTTCCAGATTTACCATCATAAGGTTCTTTTATTTATTAAAAAGCTTCTTCGGTATACTTCTTTTACTTTATATCCACTTTGTAAAAAATAAATGGTGAAGAAAGTATTTCGTCATATACACCTAGCATGTCCATGCGTAATGTGGCGTATCCGGAACCCTCACTGCTAAAAGCGCGCCTCGGCACACACTTACGTCAGAGGGTCAAAACCCTCCCG